ACTATATTTTTATACATTTTTTTAAATTTTAAAATTAATTTCAAGCCAAATTTCAGACCTGATTATTACAAAGTAACAAATTAATATATTTAGTACACAAGTACAAAATATATTTATGAGTAATTTGAATAACAATTTGTTTATAATATTGTAGATTAGTAATAAATAAATATGTGATATATAAATATTATAACTGACAAAGCCAAAATAAGTTAGTGATAATATTTACAAGAGTTCAAAAATAATATTGTGTATTCAAACAAGTTTTGATGGTTTGATTTTTACTATTAAGAAATAAAAAAGGGTTTTTTTAAAAAAAAAAATAGTGGAAAGACAATTAGAATGATTATTTGCAATAACAATAATAAGAATATATCGATAATAATCTAATACATGTTTGATTTTTCTATTTTTATATTCATATCGTGTGTAAGTTCTATAAAACTTATCTCAAATCTAATCCATTGTCATTGTAATACCCGAAATTAACTTTAATAATTTAAAATTAATGTATAAAGTATAATTTTTAAATTTTTATTTAATGTAAAACTTTAAAAAAATAGGTGGATGATGAAATTAAAAACAATTTTAGAAAAAAAATGGTGAAAATTTGTGTTACGGATGTATTTTTAAAAGAAAAATAAGAAAATATAGGTCAAAACGTAATTTTAAAAAAATATGTCACATAGGACGGTTTAGTCAGTAGTTCCGACGAACCGGAGCACGTCGCGTGGCAAGGCACGTTGACGCAGTGCTACGGGAGAAACCATGCTGGCAATCTGCGTGCTCGCGGTCGGACGGTCTGGATTTGTTTCCGCAGGCGTGGACGCTCCGGGTTTGTTCCCGCGTGCGTGGACGATCAGGATCCATTCCTTCCTCAATCGTGATCAGATAGTCGCGATTAAATGCGATAAATGGTCAAGATTCGTTTTTCTCTTTAAACGCAATCGTACGGTCCAAATCAAATCGCGATGAATAGTCCAAATTTATTTTATCATTCAACGCGATCGGATGGTTGAGATCAAACGGGATGGACGAACCAAATTAAAGGGAGACATATATAAGTACATCACTTCACACTAAACCCTAACCCTAGCCGTCAGCCCTCCCTGCCCTCCGTCGGAGAAGAAGAACCAATCGCCGGGAAGGGAGCCGATCGCGCTCGCCGCTGTGCCGGAGCCACCTTCGACCTTCAAAAGAGGTAAAAAGAAATTTGTCACTCGAAATTCAATTTTGAACACGCCCATGGCCAAATCGGAGCAAAAGAACCGATGAATGAGCTGAAAACTGCAGGTAAAGCCTGGCGGTGCGGCAACGGAAAAAAAAAAAATTTCCTCCAATGAGGCCCTCCCCGATTCCCGTTTCACAAAATTTTTCTACCGTTGTATTCTCTATTTTGTTTTACGCAGATTGACTGAAAAAAATCGTCCAATTGCGAAGGTGAGCTGGCGGAGTCGTCGCACCGAAAAACTCTGTCGCTGGTAAGCTTTTGTTTTTCGACTTTTTTTCGGTCAACCAAGGCTCCCTAACATGTTTTCTCGCAGGGACGACGACGCCTTGATAGAATTTTGAAATTGACCGAAAAGGATTTCTAACACTGATTTTAGATTTTTTAGGGTATTTCTAGGTACTTGAAGCGTGTTTTAATCTCCGAATGAAAATTTAGGGAACTCAGGAACCGTCAGTAGGTACAGCTGAAAGTTTAACATTTTTTACACTGATTCGAGTAAGAATCCCTCACCTTATTCCCTGTTATAGAATTAAAGTTTAATTATAAATAATACGGTATTTGCGTAATTTATAAATATCGATAGTTAAATGTTACTAATGGAGGCGGATCCGGTCATTTATTACTATTTGTCATGTTTTAACTGGTTGATTGATTTTATAGTTTCGAATGCATGATGATACACTAGAACTGGTATGATGATTAGATTATGTTTTTTTGATGCACATATTGA